TATGTATAGAGAGAGTACTATATATAAGGCTTACAGGTTTATAGTGTACTAAATTCATATATACATCACATTTGAAAGAGGCACCTGGGGAAACCTGAAAGGCTCCTCTCATACTGGCCTCATTTCTCCCATTCTCTCTGTTTCTCCCATCTGACCATTTGTCCTTAGAGGATCCTGGGCTTCCCCTGTCTATGTAACTGCTAAATTGTCTATCTTCTCTTCTCTGCTAGTTGTAGACTCTGTGAAGGAATGGGCTAAACTGGTCTCATCTACTCCCAACCTAGCTCAGTGGCTAGCACATAGTAGATGCTCAATAAATATCTGTGCCTAAGTAATGGGCATAAGGACTATCTAAAACCCAAGGCAGGTCATTGTAAGTGAGAGGTGCGAGATAATGGAGAAGGAGGTATTTGCCCTAAGTCAGTGAAGGCTTCGCACAGTAGATAAGTGAACCAAGTTAAATATGCTTTATGTTTTTGTCAGTGGAGTGGGAGGACCTGGGTGGGGGCGTGGCTTATGAAGAGGTGAAGTTGTGGCACCGTCATGATAGTTGAGGTCAGCGAGAAGACTGGTTCTGACAAAGCAGAAAGTTCCTGCAGGTAAATAGAAGAAAAGGCTGGAGTAGGCTGGGGTCAAGCTGTGAGAGGCTATGGTTACCTGAGCTGCAGGACATCCTTAGTGGCTGCACTGAAGGGATTACCTTATCATGAAGATATTCGCACTGAAACAAGCACCAGTAAGGTGGGTTTTAAAGTATCAGGGCAAATGGTAAGAACTGGGAAGATCGCTGCTGACTCAGATGGTGGGGACTTGAACGTCTATGACTGCTGCAGCTGGATTAGGACTAACAGCCAGAGAGAGGGAAGAAGGGGTACTTTAATCCCAGTACCCCTGGCAGTCCCTGCCTAGACCATGTCAGACTTCCAGCCCACACCTGTGGAGAAGCTACTTCTACACTAAGCTACTTCCAAATAGCCCTTCACCTTGTAGATCATAGCACACTGATGGCCTATTTTGAAGTCTCTGCAAAGATGACACTTGCTTTCTGAGACAGAAAGACAACTTGTAAATAAGAGCTGTATCTTTTTTATTTTTGATGGTACTAAGGATTGAATATATCTCCACCCACCTGTTTTTCCTTTGGTAGTTAGAAATGAACCCAGAGCCTTCACACTGAGCTACATCCACAGTCATATATCTATCTATCTACCTATCTATCTATCATCT